GCATTTCACTCGAATTCAACCCGCATTGATGTATAAATGTGGAAAATGTTTGTTGATTAGCGTATGTGGCATTGCGTTGGTATTTGTCTGTCTATCTGTGTATGTGTGTGTGTATTTGCTAAACATCTCAGCACGGGATTATTTGCTGGCATTTATTTGGTATATCAGCTTTGGCATATAGAGATAAAGCTAACAATTAGCAGAGGCATCTATGCAATGAGGCAGGTCGATAGAATTCTGATAAATTGCTCATTCAAATCGTTTCCCAAATAAGCATTCGGCGATTATTATTGCATATATATTAGCTTTAAAATGCTATACATGAAAAAGTTTTATAAATATATGGCTTCTCATCTGTTTAGGTAAATAAATTATTTATTCAAAAGAGTCCTAAGCCTTAATACTTGATTCAAGATTTATTCCCCAAGTATATTCTCTATATTTTGATTGTTTTGACACTTGACAGTTCAAATGCTGGTAGATTAGAGGGAGGTATTCGGATACAATCAAAGTTCTATGTATTTAACTATTTACCAAGAATATTATTAACTCTCTCCTGAATGATTACGATTATAAGACATAGATCAGTTTTGTTTGTGACTTAGATGATAATGGAGATTTCTTCAAGCATTCACATTCAATGTATAAACATTCTGTTATGTTAGTATTGTTATAGTGTATTCTGCGAATTTGAAAAGCTTGACTGTGATATTTTTGCCAGTCATACACGGTTGCGGCATTATCTGAAAGCACATTTTAAGTATACTTGTCTATATATATTGTATGCGCGTGTGCGTATTAAGTTAAGAGCAGTCCCATGTTCTAGGTTCTGCTTGATTGCTCTGCTTTGTATAATTTTAATTTTGAGCAATGTTGTGATATCAGTATTATGGGAAAAGGGATAGCCTCCAATGAGTCATTATGAAATTTTGCAACGTGCTATAATCTCTTGATAAAGTATTGAGTAATATTTTCCCAGATCTCCTACTAATCTGAAGTAAAGATTTAAGAAAATTAATTAGCAGGCCTGTTATACAATATAAACAGAGACAGGTTCTTACAGAGACCATAATTTCGTAATATAATTTAATAATGTATTATTAGAGACATTAAATAATGGTATAATAATATATGGTCTCTGTTTTGTCATCGACTTATCCTAAGTCATTTTTAAAGTTTTTTCTGAATATGGAATGGTTATATATTATATTTTAAGCCTAAGCAGTAGCTCTAAAGATAAAGATAATGTAAGGGACTGACCACTGGTTTGCTGGCCGCGCTTTTTATTTACAATATTGAGAATTTATTAGGTATTTACTTCAAGATATGTATAATTCTAGAATATATAGAAATATTCATCGATATTATTGAGAAATCTTGCAGCCCCATGCACATTTCACTTTCCCTTCGCCTTTTTCCTCTTGCTAACTAAAAATAACAATTCTTTGCTTATCATTATACGGTTTAATATTGACACCGCATAATCATATGCCATTGTCCCATGTAAGCAATTCGATTACAAATTTTTTTGCACTCCGCTCAGAGTGCAAGCAGCATAAAATGCAAGCGCCAAAAAATCGCTTTAGCTGGCGATTTTTACGCTTCCTAAAGCATAAACTCAAACAAATTTGCTCAGTAGAGTGTGTGTGTGTGTGTTTGCCGGTGAGCGTGCCAAAGGGTACAATTATGATCCGAGCTCTGTTCAGGTGAGCAGACGCCTATAAGCGTATCCCCAGCTGGGGAAACGGGCTATGCAAACAAGCAAAATAGTTCGGTAACTCTGCCAATTCAGCGGGCTGGCAACTCTGCCGCTCTAATGTGTGAAAAATATGTAGCGCCTCGCCAGGTGTAAAGCTCTGTCCGCAGGGAACTCAAAAAGCACCTTCAACTTTGAGTCGAAAGGGACTCCATTTGCCTTTGTTTTTGTTTTTGCTGTCGCGCCTAAGCGACTGCAACTTTTATTTGAAAAAAAAAAAAAAAAAAATGGGTTGCGGTCAGGTGAGAGAAAGGGAGAAGCACAGAGACGACACAGACAGAGAGAGAAAGAAAGAGTGAGAGAGGGGGGAGGGAGGAATCTCAGGGGACATAAAGTGCGAGTGGCTTTTCAATTTCAAGGCTCATTGTGTATGACTCAGGCATTGGTGAAGCATTAAATTAATTTTAAAAACTTTGCGAACGCAGCATAAAAACAAAACAAAAGCGAAAACTAAACTTGAAATTAATTAACCGCGACAAGGCCAAAGCAATTTCATAAAAAACAATGAAAAATACAAGCGCAGTCCGGCCACACGCTTCCACACTGGCAGAAATCAAGTCCTACCGAGTCTCTGCAATTTAAACTTTTGCAGCATTTCATTTCATATCCTGCCACATAACTCATAAAGCCCCTAATTACGCGAACAGCTGACGCGACCCAGAGACAAAATAAAGCCAAATAGGGTGGATGAACGCTAGAGCCAAGGGCCAGCCAGAAAAGAAAGAGAACGAACGGAGGGGACTTTCGAGCAACAGCCCTCAGCTATGCCCACAACAAAGACAAGTTCGCGATTTGTTATAACAAAATATATAATATTCTCTTTGCGACCGCGAATTAAATAACTTGTTCAGCTTCAAGTGCAATATTTTGAAACTGGCTGAAGCAAGAAATACTGAAGGAGATATTTACCTGACGAAATATTTAGATTATTATTAATTTGTACAGCAGTATCCGTCGATCATAGACGTATTAAAAATATATTTTTAGCATATGCATTCCTTCCGATATCAAATTGAAGCTATCGCCACTTAAATATCTAATATATATATATCAAATTGATTAGCGATTTCTATTCAGTCTATGAATAATATTTCATAGATCCATATTTTGAGTGCTAGATTCATAATATGGATTCGCGAACCGACTGCCTTGTCTGCAATACCCTGTAAATTCGCAAATACCACGCACGTGTACGTTTTTGTGGTTTGGCCCCGCCAGCTCAAGGGGAACGCCAGAAAGCACGCTCTGTTGCTGTTGCTGTTTTTTCTACGTCTTCAACGGAACAAGCGAAACGAAACACGCAGCCTCGCCGCATGTATTTCAATTACTGCATTTCTCAGTCAGGCTCCAGCCCCAGTCCCATTTGCCTGGCGTTCTGCCTGCTTCTGCAACTCCCTCTATGGCCTCGCCGTTCGAGCATCAGTAACGCGTTTGTGCGCCCGCCCATTGGGCAGCCGCCCTCGCAAGCATTTTTTATGGATTTTTAATTTGCGCCAGGCGCGCATATTTTACTCCTCTTTTTATATTGTTTTTATGTATTTTTATTTTATTTTTTATATTTTGATGTATTTTTTGTTTGTTTTTGCGCGCTTTTTACGCAAATTCATTGTTTTAATTTACTCAAGTTTKTTGACCGAAAACAAAAACTAATCAATGTGAGCAGAACCAAGGTGCTAAGGGGTTGATGGGTTGAACGAGCTGATGGGGCTGATGGGCGTCGCATCGTAGCGAGGTGACAGACGAAAACAAACGACAGTCGGCTGGTCAGTTAATGAGGTCAAAGCCCAAAATAGGGTTAAACAGTGCACACAATTTTTAATTAAACATTAAGTCTGGCCAACTTTTTGTTGTGGTTTCTATTCGAGGTGGCTACATACATATAAACACACTCGTAAATATATAAATCTGTATATATACTTAACCGCAGAGCGGTAACTTCCAAAGGCGAAACTTGCGAAAAAGCAAGCAAAAGTTTAAAGGTGTAAAAGTGTAAAAAGTATGAAAGGGGAATCGGCTAATGAGATAGAGTTAAAAGAAAAGTTTATCTTTTTGGCATTATTTACACCTACAGCTCAGGTAGAAGTTGAAATAATTTCACTGTTCTTTGAAGAGCACATAAAAAGAAGAGATTTAAGTTTAAGTGGACTTAAATCTGAAGGGCTTATAGCTTACAGGTTAAAGTAAACCTGGACTCAAATGACAACAAAAAAAAGAAAAGAATCGAATAGCTGAGAAAAGTATAGTTCAACTAACACTTTTCAATACAGAAGAAAAGGAAAAGCTAAGACGAATGGAAATGAAGGAGAGAAAAGATGTTTGAAGGCAATCACATGAGGTGAGGTGTTTGGGGTGCTTGAGAGAGAGAGCTGAGAAGTACGGAAGAGGATAAATGAGAAATAAAGGGAACATAATGATTTCAAATATGCTACAAAATAAAGTTTCCCTCTGTTATTAAAAGTTTATATGTTTCTAGTTGAAGCAAGTAAGAAGGATCAATTCGAAACTGCTTAACTAGTAGATTCCCTGAGCCCTCCAAGCTGATATTCGAATCATCCTGCACTTCTTTTATGCACACATACATACACATGCATAAGACCGCGCTCTGCTAACTGCGCAGTAAGATGCGACTGCGCTTGGGCTGCGCTGCAGTGGGGACAATGTATGAGAATCTAATTGTTAATAATTTCACTTGTAGTAGAACTATATACAGGAAACTTTCAAACCGTATTCATAAAGTTCATTCCGAAGTACAATTCTTTAGTACTTGAAATACGTTTTTTACAAATTTAGGGCGAAGGGGGGTGGTATCCAAAATCTGAAAATTACAATTGTCTCCCGGTCTAAAAGTGTTCAAATCAGGCTGAAAGAAACTAAATCTATTTATCGACTATCCTCGATAAAAAGATATCGAATGAGTTATTGATAAAAATATGATAATCTCGTACTGCTTATGGTATACACGAGTCTACGTGCATTCAGCTCCTTAGCTCTTGTATCTTCTGAGAGCTAGGCGTTCAGACTCAGAATATATATACTTTAAGAGGTCTGTGTTGATTCCTGCTGTTACACACTTTCCTCAATACCGTTATACCATGATTTCCCATTTTCAATGGGTTTAGGTTATACAAAATTGAGCTCGTCTTCAATTTGAAAATATCTATTAACCGAACGAAGTAAATTTGCAAATGTAAACTTGCCAAATTTTACTGCAATGTCATTAATAGTTTTTAATTTTCATTTTCAGGCAACATTTCTCAACTGAACGAAACAACGATATTAAACTGAACAGGCAAAACTACAAATTTTAAACTTAACATTACCAACTGCGACCAAAGGTTTCTCAAGCTCTTTCTAAAACAAAAACATAAAAAATCACAAAAAGCTGAAGTAGTATTCAAATGATGTAAAATAAAATAAAAACTGCGACTCTGGTTGAACAGAAAAAAAAAAAACACCCGCTGAAACTGCGTAACCAGAAAACCGGAAATTAAATTTGCAACAGCCATAACCTCAAAAAAGTAAAATAAATAAAAGTAGTGCAAACAAGCCACAGTAGGAGAATTAAAAAAATAAATAACATTGAAAAGAGAGCGAGAGATAGAGAACCCAAAAAGAGAATTAAGAAATTTCGCTGGCAAATATTTGCAGAGATTAATGAAAGTGGATTAGAGACGAGTTTCTAAAATTGAAAACGAGATAAAAGCGGCACAAATATCTCACACATAACAAGAGCGAACGAGAAGGAGAACAAGAGAGCGAGAGAGAAAGAGGAGGAGCGACCAAGTGTGCAACAGAGACAGCGACTACTTGGCTGAGCTTGGCTGAACTTTGACCCACTCGACGCGTTTGTCTTTTCGCTCTTAGTGTTAATCACGGCAAACGTGCCAGGACGAACAGGACGAACAGGTCGACCAGGCGGTGGCGTGGCGAGGGCCAGGCCGGGTGCTGGCTACTTAAAACCCGGGGCGTCAGGCCAGCACATTGTTGCAGACACTTTCACTCTCGCAACGGCTACAACAACAACAACAATTTGTAATTCAAACTAAAAGCAACGCAAAGCAACAACAACAAAAACAAAAAACCAAGGACATGGACTCGTCGTCGTGCTTGTCGCTGTTTGTCGCGTTGATCTTCCTTGTGATAATTAAAGGTGAGTGCAACATTTTCAGTATCAGAAACTCACACTGACAACACACACAGGGAACATTTCATTTATTCGAAATGAAATTATTTTTAACATTTATTAATTAATGAATCCGGAGTGCAAATGCTATGAGTATAGCTTTTAAGGTATCTAGCTGACGGAAACCGATTAAAATTAAATTACATAAAGAAATTGGGAAACTTGAGAATGTTAAAGGGCGATGCCCTAAAGCTAAAATATACTCTGGGAAAATGTATAATATTTATGGTCTTTCTGCTAAATAAGACATTAATTAGAAAAAATAAATTGAAATAAAAATAAAAATTCTACGTCAATCATCCAATTTGATGTATATTTAGTTCATTGTAATTGCTCTGGATCGAGTTATTCATCGTATGTATAAAAATTAGAAATAATTTAATTCTTATTTGTAAATATAATACATATGTGTTCTCCTATATCCTTTATTACGAATTTTTTATAAATACAGTAGAATGCGGTTCTAGCGACACTCAAGGGACCGATTTTACGTCGCTATACCTGGAGGACGCTTTAACCAGAAAGAGTAAAAAATATATATATANAACTTAAATTTTTAATTAAAACAACCATTTTTTATAAATTTCTTTCAATAAAATGGTTTTAAAACATTTTTGTGACGTCGGCATTGTACTTTGTCTCTCTCCCTCTCTATGTCTTAGCAGCATTTGTGGCGTTGCTACGCACACAAGCAAGGGTACTGATCACTAATCAATACATACATGTATACGTTTCTGACAGAGTCTTTTTATGCTGAAATTTGTTGTCATTATTTTGGGATTTTTTTTTTATCACGTCGTAATAACCGGTGATAGACTCAAAAATATGAAAAAATTCGTCGGCATAAGCGGATTGTCGTTAAAAGCGGAGACGTACTAAGCGGAGGCTCTTTCATATGAGTCAAAAATATGAAAAAAACCTTCGGCATAAGCGGATTGTCGTTAAAAGCGGAGACGTACTAAGCGGAGGCTCTTTCATATAAGTTTGTATGGGGACCAACCAAGACATCGAATTTTCGTCGACATAACCGGTTGGACGATTTAAGCGTTGTTGTGACTCTCTCATAAATATATGTAATTAATTTTTCTACTCCTCAACATTTTATTAGGGTATCTCTTAGTCAGGTACTCCCGCCTTTAACTTATTACTTCTTCGCAATAAATATATTTTAAGAGTCGAGTTATATTAAGCAATTCGATTTTAATTATAGGTAATATCAAAGTTGATCACATTCTATTATGCCATCAGTCAGTCAATCAATCAGTCACAAACAAAACATGGAAATGCAAACTTTTGAGTATGTTTTCATCTAGTTTCCGTAACTGTAACTGTGAAGTGGCATTGCTGTCTGTAAACTGTTCTCAGACATATATCCTTATTTGACTCCATTTTCATCAATATTTATGAACAACTTTGCGCATGTTTTCTGTTTTGCTTAGCTCGTTCCGCATACAAGTTGAGAGGTCCTTGTCGGTGCGAATCCTTGTGGGCCACTATCAATTTGAAAGTGCACAACTTTCAGGGCTCTGCATAAATCTTCTTGTCACATTACTAACATGCCACAAAGCGCGGCGCTGACTGTTGCATTCGCATCGCCCCACGCCCAACGCCACCCATGACCACCCCATGCGCTTGCTACCTAGTTACGTGCCAGCACATTATTCAATTCCACATCGGATTTTTCAATTTTCTTTGCCAACATTTTCACGGTGCTTTAAGCAGACCAAACAAAGGAAGCCCCCGAACGACAAATGTAAAAGCCACATAAGCTGTGTTTRTGTGTGTGTGTGCGTGTCTATGTAGAGCTAGGGTATATATAACTATATAAACATATACATATATATCCCTCTATTCATATGCACAGCCATAGTACATATGGCAGCTGGATGGGTGTATTCCCTAGTAGCCCGCTATAAATTCACATTGTCGCCATCGCCCACGGAGATCGCCCCGAGCCAGAAACTTGGCCATATTTTTTTGTTTGCTCCTGCAGCAGTTCGGCAATCGCAAAAAAATGTATACATAGGGAAAAAGTCGCGCGGCAATGAGACAAATATTTTGGATAGGAAAAAAAGACAAAGAGAAATGAAATAAAATACTCACACAATTGTCAGAGTGAGCCCCAGGAGAGCCTACTTCAAATCTACAGATGCTCCCCAGTGTGTCACATACACACACACACTTGCGTATAGACATACTCGCGTGCACACACTCGCAGCATTTCAAGTTTTCTCATTTTTTTTTTTTTTTTTTGTGAGTTTCTTTTTTTTTGCATTCAGTCGAGAAGTTGTTTTTTCTAGCTCGTTGAGCTGCGCTGCGAGTGGGAGTCGAGTCTCATGTGTGTGTCAAAAAAAGGAAAGAAAAAAGAAGAAAGATAGAATGAACAAAATAACAAGCGACTGCAACGCACGATTTTCAATTGCTCGCAATGCTCCACTTGCATTGTTTCCACCAGACAGCAACAAAGTGCATTAGCATTAAGTGGCAGGCCCTTGTGGGTAGCAAGTGCCAAGCAAGCGAATGCCTCTCGAAATTCTAAGAAAACAATTTCCATTGATTTTGATCCAATATACTAAATAGGTAATTCTTGTTAATCAACAACTATTTAGGCTACTGCATAGAAAAGCTTTCACAAAACATTTCATTTTCCAAATACACTCTGATTACGTATCTATTCCGAGCTACAGCTTGGTATTCAGTTTCATTTGAAAGTAGATACCCTTAAGCATACAAACATGCACATGCAACACAATCTTTTTACATATCAAATTTCCAACAATGATTTTTCTTTTCGCTTAATAAATAATTGCTTTATCAAGTTAAATATCCACAGTAGAAAAAATCCAACCCGACTAGGAAATACCCGAACAGATACCCATATAATATATATATAT